TTGTTTTGTCACTACAGCAGACACACTATTGCAGCATGTCTGACAAACTGAGTAATCTGCCAATAAAAATGACCGTTTATAAAAAATAACATTGAATGACCAAACAGATTTTTTTTCTGGTAAAGGTGACTATTTTAATTTACACTTAAACAAATAAACGGGGTCAAACACTGTGCTGGTGATGGCGTTGAAGCTCCATGCTTTGGTGAATGCTGCTGCTCTCTGACCACCAGCAGGTGGAGGCAGCGGCTAATCTGAAGAGCAGTGCTCAAAAAGGATGATGCGTTCATGATGATGCGACTAAACACCACTCCCCACCGATTTCAGACCTCTACTTCATATCGTGTACATAAATATAAATATCTAACCCATGTTTCAGCTTCATTTATGATGATTTCATATCATGCTTTAAAAATTGTTATATAGTTAAAAACGGGCTTTGTTATTCATCAATTTTGACGTGTTTTGTCTGGTTTGAGAAAAATATAGCAAATATGAAGGGGTTATCTAATGAATCCAGCAACAAAAATGAGAGTAAAAGGCTGGTTACACTCAAAATCAAGCCTACATATTTTTATTTTGTCATTTAGCAGTAGTACTAGGATGCTTTAGATAATATATGTAAGAAAAATCTCGATCATCTGTCATCATGCCATTTATTTGTATAGAGAAGCAGTTTGCCCCAACATCTAATTTGCGTATTATTTCCTCAACTGTGCTAGCTTGTGTTGGTGTGGGATGCTCTTGAATGTAATGGAACTAAGTGCCCTGTAGTGTTCAAAATCATTCAATCATGCAAATCAATCTCATGTTTAGATCCTGTGGCACCATCCGCACCACAAACCTCTGTTCAGGATCGATCCCTGGAGATGTCTGTGAGTAGCATTTAGTTCCATTATGTTCAAAAGAAGGCGGGCATCTCTGTAGCTCACACCAAAATAATCTAGATGGATAAATAGCACTACTGAGCAGGGGAAAACTCACATTTGATTTTTTCTGTGACCTCCCCCTTTATTCCTGCACTCACATGCCTACAAATAATTTACACCAAAATGCTCCACTGATCATGATTACTGCCACATGATTAAGTTTGTCTCAGGAGCATAGCCGTTAGCTTATGTCTCATGATAGACTTGAGGTCCTGAAAAACCGTGAATAGGCTCCTCTTCTTTCACTACAGTTCCTCCATTTCTCCCTCTGTCACCTGAAACGGTCATCCATGTGTAGATCAGTATGTGTCTTTATCAGTTTGTGAGGAGGAAGAAGGGATACTTTGAGGACAAATTCAAAAACATAAACATTATACATATGTTGTCTTACTGTGCTGTTATGGCATCTGTGAACTCTCCTTAAGACACAAGAAAACACTGTTGCGTGCAAATGGCCCAAGGTTCCGGTCTGATCCTCATGAATGTTAGGCTGGATAGCGTCAGTGCAAACAGCCATGCCGGGAGTCCTGCTGCAGAAAAACAAAGTTCCTTTGACGTTGTTTGCCGTGACCTTTGGTGACCCCTATACATCAAACCTCATGACACCAGTAGTGGCAGAGGAGGCTGTAAGCCAAATCTGGAATAGAAGTTCAGAGGAGTAAAGTCGTGAGCACATGGGAATCTGTTCCATCCACTTATCCTCAGTGCCAGTAGCCTGTTGTTTTGGACAAATCCCAAAGAGAATGCGGAAAGTGAGGTTAACTTTGTAATATGTGTCTGGGTTAGCAGAAGCCCAAACATTTTGCAGATATAATGGATTGACCTCTGAGGCGAACCATAGAAAAAAACCCTCAGATTTATCCAGTCTTCAGGGGAAAGACTCTTTCACTTAAAGTTTATGCTTATCGGCCATTTGTTCTCAGCAGTCTCACATCAGTTTGCATCAAAACCTGCCTCGTGTACATTTTTCCTTTCACGGGTGTGATTAGGCAGAGATAGCCCACTTGAGTCAAACAGGGAGAGGACTGACAGACAGGCTGGCTGTCTCCTAAAAGTGGGTTATAGGTGGGAGAGGTGTCATCTTACTGGGAAGCACAGGAAACGCTTCAAACCTTATATATA